ATTGTTGGACTCTCCATAAGCATTCTTGTCCAACTCGTGTCATTCCAGTAGAAACGAAAGAGGCGAGTGGTGACAAATGGCACCTTTTGCTCATCTCAAACGTAACCATGGTAACCAAATCAAAAGTAACATCACATGAGGACCACTTCTATATAAAAATGGAAGGTGTTTCGGTTGCCTGATATTGCAGCACCAAACCTAACTCATAGCAGCCACATTCCATGTAAAAAGACAATAACATATTGTTTCTTTCTTGAACAACAGGAGTATCTGGTTTATTCCATTGCTGTATAAAAGTCCAAGGTAGTGTCTACATTTACATGTGTTATTTAACAATATCACAATAGTACAGTACAGTAAGTATATTAATTTGTTACACAATAAATTAAATATACTAATCATGTACAATAAAATAAAGTCTTTAAAATGCAAGTTTGGTTGGAAAATGAGGAGGTTGTGATTGGCTAATGCTGACCAATTATCGATCAGCAATACAATCAAAGCGATACTATAGCAGTGTTTCTTAAATACATGGCTTACAGAGTAAAAACTTCATTTTTTAGTTTCTAAACCTTAAAAGAGAGTTAATTTGTAAATAAATAGATTTAAACTTAACTTTAATAAAAGGTGAGAATTTATGGATATGAACTTCTTTGAGGGACATGACATTTTGGAAATGTGTCCCTCAAAATATAGAAGTTGACATCCATAAATTATCACCTTTATGTGTATCACTACTAAATGCTGCTCAAAGATTTTAACTTTTATTGCCAGACCTAAAAACACATTTAACAAAGAAATATAAAAGGCCTTGTTAATATGAAACTCGGGAAGCGCTAACACCATGGCAACAAACTCACCATAATCATAAACCTGGAAGAAAACTAGTCTTATTCTTGTTACATCATGACATGATGATAATAATAATAATAATAATACAATAATGATACTAATGATATTCTGGTAGCTACCTATACCATTGCTTATCCAGGATTCTGGGATAAATGCTGTTAGGTGTTGACAGGTAAATTTGAAGATGAAAACACACATATTGCCAACTAAGATGATTTTCTTGCACAAAGACTGAAATCCTATCTTCAATACTTCACAGCAGGCATACACTACTGTACAGTGCTACCCCTAACACACGAATCAAGCAATGCCCTACTCTCAGTGGATATTCCAGCAACGACGACACTAGAGGGCGTCCCACCTTTCGAGAGCTCAGTGCACCAATGGCAATGATTATTACTTTTCAATCTATGGAACATCACCATGTAACCAGAAGCTGTACACTTCCGGCATCCACTGTCAAAGTCAGTGTAATCATTATGCTTGGAGAAAAAATATAATTTTCACTTTTAGTGTCACTTATTTTATGAAATTTAAAAATCTAAATCTTTTGGTAATAGTCTTTAAGTTAATTTACGATGCACACCAAGTTGCATTGATGCAGAAACAACATATGCATTTTAACATGTGAGTATGGTTTTACGCCGCTTTTAGCAATATTCCAGCAATATCACTGCAGGGCACACCAGAAATGGGCTTCACACAATGTACCCATGTGGGGAATCGAACCCGGGTCTTCGATGTGATGAGCGAACGCTTAACCACTTGGCTACCCCACCGCCCACATTTTAACAAATGTAGATGAAGAAATATTCAAGTGATGCATCACAATATATACCCTGTATAGGCATGAAGCTACCCAGTGTAGGTACATAGGCTGCATCACAATAGGCACTCCTTGAGACCAGTGCCTAACATAGTGTATGTGAGGCTGTGAAGTATCGACGATGTTGAAAATGGACATAGCATGGGAATGACAACAGCAATTTAATCACAAATAAGTTGAGTGCAGGAAAAAGTAATAACATAAGTGTAAAAAAAGAAAAATGTCTGACTGATATGTGCAAAAGAACGTATAAGCTTTCAAATACAGAAGAATAACGCACACTTCAAATGGTTCAAGCAGAAACATGGCATAACAAAAACAACGAATATTTAACAGAGGTAACAAACGTCTCGTTGGAATCACGATATGGTATGGAATAAATACATTTGATAACAGTGTTGGGAATGATATTTCCCATGATTTAGGTTTTGTGTGGTGTAGCAAGGAATAAATGAAGCCTGAAAACCCTGAATCTCTGGGTCACATGTGTAGGAAGCTGTGGAGCTAACCGCTGGTGCCATCAATACCTGATCAGCTAGCTGGCTTCACTTCCTTGTCATAGGAACAAGGCATCAGACCTTGGAGCAGAAGGTTGGTGGTTGAATCTGAACTTTCATGGTTTCTACATGTGCAATAATAGCAACTAAACCAGAAGCAGCCCATTGTCCATGGTTAAAGTTACCACAAAATGCCACCTAAACTCTTACACCTATGATATCACTCGTTGGCACTCATACAACAGGGTGACAGTAAATATCTGAGAGTATTGAAATGTTTCGTAAACATTGACCTTGACCAAGTTCAGACCCTGCTAGAAGAGGAGTACACTACCCAACTGGGATGTCTTGATGGAAAACTGTTTCAAAATCGAAACGTAATCATGGCAGTAACTGACGATCTAAATCATCCCACAGTTGATATAGGGTATGCAATGAACAAATGGTCAGCAGTGATACTTATTGCAATAACACAAAATCAATAGGATTAATATGAATAATGACACACAATCTTAAGAATATTTGTCCTGACAGTTGACCCATTGGCTCATGCCAACCTCGAAGTGTTGCAAATAGTAGTTTCAAGGATCCAAATTAGTAGTTTGACCATAACATTAGTAGTCAACTAAATACTTAAAATCATGATGGATTCTGAGAAAGATAATATGACACTAATCAAGAGTGAAACTTTAATTTCACATACCTCCAACAGCAGATTTCCAAATTATCAGCATTACATTTCTTCTTGTCGTCTGTTTTTGGCGAAAATGTATTTAATTGACAAAAATGTTTTTGTCTATGTATCCAAATTTAATGAATTTTCTTCAAATTTCGTAGAATTTCTAGTGCAATCGTATTGGCATAGTTTGAGGTTAAAATTTGAAACAACTATGATAAAATCGTAGAGGTTGGCATCTCGGTTGTTGTCTAATGACAAACCCTAGACAAAATGCATGGTCATAGTTTTTTGGCAAAGCCTAAAGTCACAACTTAGCCTTACAAACTGAGGTGTCCAGATGACCTGACCATCCATGTCATTAAAATACGTGTAAATACATAACACGTCTCCACAACTTCTGTCCTGGATGCCAATAGTAGATACACACAATGTATTCCTATTAATAATTGAGCAGGATGTGTTAACAAAAAGATTAAATGTCTAGCACCTTTCCGTAACATTACAATCATTGCAAAAACCCATAATCATTACAAACAAACTATAATCATTTCAAACAAACCATAATCAATGCGATTAGGATTCACAATTCCCTGCATTGATCAGAGAATATTTGTTCTTGGCAGAATGTTCGCAGGTAAATGTCGACATTTGTATGTCTGTGGTAAAATATCCATTGCTGAATAACAATGGTTGAATGCCCATGCACATCAAGAACAACATATCTGACATGATTCAATAATTATACAGTTTGTCAGCTACAATTATTGAATATTATAAGCAAGTTATCAGAAAACTGATAAACATAATGCCTTAGTGTAACAGATAAATAATTGACTGGTGCCAATGTATATTTTCGTAACAAAACATTATCAGAACAATTCTCAAAATGATTCAACATTTGAACAAAACTGTATTACTTAGATAATTGTAAAGTAAATTTTTAAAATGGGTTGGGGTCGCAGGAAGCACATCTACAGTTAATGAAGTAAAACACATAATCACCCTCTTGTCCCTGACTGAAACAGTTAGTATGTATATATGTCAAAGAAAAATAACTGAGTTGCAGAACTGGCACATTACTAGTCGCACAACTTGATCGATGAAAATGAAAAGCTGGAGTTTTGGCAATTCCCTGATTCAACCTAGACTTCAATTGGTCCAAGTCCTCTTTTGACGAGCACAGCACATACAGTAAGCTATGGTTATAAAGATCTCTAAGGGACCAGAAGTTTCAGTTTGGTATATTGTACACATTTTGACTGAATCATACAGCAAGTGACCCAGATCCAAAATATAGTTTGTTATACCCATCAGTTTTTTTATAAATGTGTTTGTTAAACATTGTTTACTGTAACTAAATATAGTCAGTATATAACTAATATTATCAGTATATAACTAATATTATCAGTATATAACTAACATTATCGGTATATAACTAATATTATCGGTATATAACTAATTTTATCAGTATATAACTAATATTATCAGTATATAACTAATATTATCAGTATATAACTAATATTATCAGTATATAACTAATTTTATCAGTATATAACTAATATTATCAGTATATAACTAATGTTATCAGTATATAACTAATATTAGGAGGCCTGGTAATGCCGGGATATGAGTGAGTGATTGAGTATGGATTTAAGCTGCTTTCAGAATATTCCAGCAACATCATGGAAGGGGACACAAGAAATGGGTTTCACACATTGTACCAATGTTGGGAATCGAACCCCTTCAACAAGACAAGCGAACACTTTAACCAGTAGGCTACTCCACGGACCATCCTATGATATGAATACTATTTGAGCAAACAATGATAGGTCACTGAGCATGTACCCCTCACCTCAGTCAAGTGTGCTGTTTTGTTACAAACCATGACTATAAGGGGTCGATAAGGGGCCTGTCATTTCATAGGGGCTGGAACAGTGGGATGGGAGATTGGCTTTAGGACTATCAAGTTTTGCATATGATTGTGAAAATGTTTGACACCCACCCTCTTCCCCTTTCTACTTTTTAACTGAGTGATTTTTTAAGCAAACCTCCCCTTAAAGCACTTCCACAGACCTTATTGTTGCAAAATCAATAACATAAATTGCATTCATGATATCGCTAAAAAAAAGGGTCAGTTTCATGTCTATCATTTGAAATCTATTTTAATCTTAATAACACCTCTGTCTTGTGTACAAGAAAGGAAATCCTGTGACCTTGTCATGTGATACTTTACATCTGGAAGCCTCTTGCCTTTGTTTGATGATGATCTTTAGCAATTCTAAACTCCATGCACCTTCAATATAAAGAATTTTGAGACACTGCATATCATTCATTAATAGATAGTCTGAATGTAGATTTATGCATAATTACTTATGAATCCTAATTGGCTGCACTTCAGAGAGGTTATCGTCAAAATTTGATGGAGTTGTATACACTATGGTTCCTATTCACACATAATATGTATAGAAACTTTGTAATCATTGTTTTTATTAGTTTTAATTTCCTACACACAAAATGGACTTGAAACCACTTTAGTGATACGTTTGTCTTATTGTTCAATACATCAACACAAACTCCTCCCCACCCCCACCCTGAAATAAAGTACTTACCTGATGTCATAGTTTCTATTTCTTACAGAATACTTTTACTGAAAACTAAGACATAAATTTTTAATTAAATAATTTAAAGGTAACGATACTATCATCAACCATGATAATGTTGTTAAGGACTAAAACAACAACAACAACATTACAGAACAACATTATCACATGATGTCAACACTTGGAATGATTGAAGAAAACAATTCACTCAGAACGATAAATACAAAGTGAGAATTCATGAAACATGACTGACTTTCACTTAAAAAACATGAACCGTATGACCAAACAAAGGTTACCTATGTGTCATAAAAATTAATTCAAATGTTCAATTAAACATGCTAAAAGTGTTTCACAATGACAAAAGTTAACAAAAATTAATAAAAACTTGTAAGTTATGTTGCTATTTATTAACTAATCTTATCAAATATCACAACTACTTGTGATAATTAATTCATTTTGACATTAATAATGCTTGGTTGGCTTCTTGTTTGCACTGAGCAATATTGCAGCTATATGGTGGCGGTCTGTAAATAACTGAATCTGGATCAGACAATCCAGTGATCAACAGCATGAGCATCAATCTACACAACTGGAATACAATGACATGTGTCAACCAAGTCAGCGAGCCTAGCCATCCGATCCCGTTAGTCGCCTTTTACGACAAGCATGGGTTGCAATAATGAAAATAATTAATAACTATGTTCATTGTTGACATCCAGCCAGTACCAATTTTGTTCTGCACTAGCTACAAGTACCATAGAATACTGGCCCAGATATATTAGCTTAACAAAAAATAAATTTGGTCCAACGGATTATGTGTAAACAATCCTTGTTCGATCAGCTGTGTTATGTAGAAATAACAGAACTGAAATAAGTTATTCAGAAATGTTGGTATTTGATATTATTCTAGAGTGAAATTTTTTTTAACATATGGAGGTGGGACAAGTTGTAAATTGGTTTCAACATAATGAAATAAATTTGGAAAATTAGTTTAAAATTCATTCTGACTAAGTAGTTCAGTAGAATCTATCTGAAACCCCTGGCCAAACAAATAACATAATCTTTAGCTGCACATTGCATATGGTAGTTACACATAGCTTGGAAAGACATAAAAATCTATTACATTCTGTGGATCAAACATATTAAATGCAGTTAATGAGTAAAGCTTGTGAGAAATAAAATGCATTGAAATGAAAGTCAAATTACCCTGTACAGTGCAATACACTGTATTAACAAGTCATATCAATAATAATAGTCCTATGTTTGTCTTATTAGTAAAAGCGCCTAGGGGCACTGCATATATACTGAGGAAAAAAAAAAAGGGAACACATGGAAGCACAAGTGTTCCTTTATTTGTTTCCATGCTATGCGATACAACGCTTGTGAAGAAACCTGGAAAAAATAAAGGAACACTTGTGCTTTTATATGATCCCTTATTGTTTTTCCTCAGTATATTTGCCACCTTAATCAACAGGTAAACAAAGAGATGTGTCCTAGACTTGCCACCTTAATCAACAGGTGAACAAGGACACATGTCCTAGATTTACCACCTTAATCAACAGGTAAACAAAGAGATGTGTCCTAGATTTGCCACCTTTAAACAACAGGTGAACAAAGAGACATGGCCTAGACTTGCCACCTTAATCAACAGGTGAACAAGGACACATGTCCTAGATTTACCACCTTAATCAACAGGTTAACAAAGAGATGTGTCCTAGACTTGCCACCTTTAAACAACAGGTGAACAAAGAGACATGGCCTAGACTTGCCACCTTAATCAACAGGTGAACAAGGACACATGTCCTAGATTTACCACCTTAATCAACAGGTAAACAAAGAGATGTGTCCTAGACTTGCCACCTTAAACAACAGGTGAACAAAGAGACATGGCCTAGACTTGCCACCTTAATCAACAGGTGAACAAGGAGACATGGCCTAGACTTGCCACATTAATCAACAGTAGAATGAAGACACATGTCCTAGATTTACCACCTTAATCAACAGGTAAACAAAGAGATGTGTCCTAGATTTACCACCTTAATCAACAGGTGAACAAAGAGACATGGCCTAGACTTGCCACATTAATCAACAGGTGAACAAGGAGACATGGCCTAGACTTGCCACCTTAATCAACAGGTGAACAAGGACACATTTCCTAGATTTACCACCTTAATCAACAGGTAAACAAAGAGACATGGCCTAGACTTTCCACATTAATCAACAGTAGAATGAAGACACATGTCCTAGATTTGCCACCTTAATCAACATGTCAACAAAGAGACATGGCCTAGACTTGCCACATTAATCAACAGTAGAATGAAGACACATGTCCTAGACTTGCCACCTTAATCAACAGGTGAACAAAGAGACATGGCCTAGACTTGCCACCTTAATCAACAGGTGAACAAAGAGACATGGCCCAGTCTTGCCACCTTAATGAACAGGTGAAGAAAGAGACATGGCCTAGACTTGCCACCTTAATCAACAGTAAAATGAAGACACATGTCCTAGAGTAAATACAATGAAGATGAATATAATCAACTGGTTAATTCAAAAGTCCTGTTCTACATGTAAATGTAATCTGATAATTAATAACTCATTACAGAGGTCATATCTTAGTTTCCAGTTCTAGATTAGAATTAGTTTTTATATTGTGTACACTTCTCAAAAACTTGTACACTTGTCACTACAGCTCACAATACAAAGAAAATTCATGCATGAATAAACAGATCATAGACATATTGATAATATGCATTACAAACCTGTATACTCCCCAGGGAGACGAGAATGAAAATCAAGCACATGCTGACCCATTGCCCAAGATAATAATGTATTATTTTCAGCTTGCATTATGACGCAGATTTGGCGCATTGTAAATATGTTCACATTACTATAATAAAGTGACCAGCCAAATGTTGGTATTGGTAAACTCAGCCACAAGGTGCAAAAACTCAACTTAACAAAATCTACTGAAGGGAAACACGAGCCAAGAAAGAATACAGACTCCCTACAAAAACTGTCTATCTTCCAAACAAAATCCCAACAAGAATTCTCTAAAATTAAATAAAAATATGCTATAAAGTCCCTTCAACAGTAATAGGCCTTGGAAAACATCCTTACAGCTGTACGTAGGACATTGTTTGGTAACTGTTAACAATCATAACAGTTTAACCAGCGAACATCAAAGAGATTGAATGAAGAATTGAACAATCTGACTCGATAATGGAAGCTATGCTAAAATGTATGTTGCCCTATGATCAGGGATTTTACTGCTTGTTCGTACAAGTGTGAATTACATGGGTCCAAATCTTGAGTTGGCTAGACTTGACCTTCATTCCGTTAATCTTCAAAAGACTTGCTATGCTAACAGAGACAAAATGTCACCACAAAAAATGTGCAAGTTAACAAAAGTCCTATGAACATTTTCCATGAACTCTTAGTCTTGTGCGATATATTTCTTCTCTACCCTGCCTTGACGTCTGAGACTGAACAAACTCTTATCATCCACTGATAATCAAGAGATGACAGTCATTAGAGTTATCTCCCTTGTGCTCCTCACTGGGTCAGTCTGTACTGGAGCTGCGAGATCCTCTTGAGCTCTGTCTTTGTAGCCCTGCCACCACTTTCTCATTGGTTTCTTTCTGTTTTAAGTTCTCATATTCACGGATGTCATCTATTGTCATTCCTGAGAAAAAGCAAAACAAATAAGCATAATATTTATGTGTCAGAATTTTAGTTTGGATTAGCATTCTCATATCTTTCAGGGGTGGTGGGATAGCCTAATGGTTAAAGTGTTCGCTCGTCACGCTGAAGACCTAGGTTCAATTCTCCACATGGGTACAATGTGTGAAGCCCATTTCTGGTGTCCCCTGCTGTGATATTGCTGGAATATTGCCAAAAGCGGCATAAAAACTAAACTCACACTCTTATTTTTCATAATGTACATTGCTTGACTGGAATAGTGAGTGAGTGGGTGAGTTTGGTTTTACGCCGCTTTTAGCAATATTCCATTAATATCATGGCGGGGACACCAGAAATGGGCTTCACACATTGTACCCATGTGGGGAATTGAACCAGGGTCTTCGGCGTGACGAGCGAACGCTTGAACCACTAGGCTACCCCACCACCCCTTGACTGGAATATGATCGTTGAACTACATCAGTCACTTCAAGGTCTCCTTGATAAGTGCTTTCCCAGTAGAACTAACCCTCCTCCCCCTTACATAACTCAAGTATCACAGAACTTCCTTAAGTGGCATTTAAAAGCTGGTATGATAAAGTGAAACCCCCAAGCTACCCCATCACCCCCAGGCTACCCCATCACCCCCAGGCTCCCCATCACCCCCAAGCTACCCCATCATCCCCAGGGCCCCAAGCTACCCCATCACCCCAGGCACCCCCCCAAGCTACCCCCATCATCACCCCAAGCTACCCCATCACCCCCAGGCTACCCCATCATCACCCCATCACCCCCAGGGCTCATCCCCCAGGCTACCCTATCACCCCCAGGCTGCCCTATCACCCCCAAGCTACCCTATCACCCCCCCACCCCCAGGCTACCCCATCACCCCATACCCCATCACCCCAGGCTCACTCCATCATCCCCAGGCTACCCCATCACCCCAGGGCTCACCCCAGGCTACCCCATCACCCCCAGGCTACTCACCCCCATCACCCCAGGCTACCCCATCATCATCCCCAGGCTACCCCATCACCCCAGGCTACCCCATCACCCCCAGGCTACCCCATCACCCACACCCCATCATCCCCAGGCTACCCCATCATACCCCTGCATCACCCCAGGCTCACCCCAGGCTACCCCATCACCCCCAAGCTACCCCATCACCCCCAGGCTACCCCATCACCCCCCAAGCTACCCCATCACCCCAAGCTACCCCATCACCCCATCATCCCCAGGCTACCCCATCACCCCAAGCTACCCCATCACCCCCAGGCTACCCCATCACATCACTCCCAAGCTACCGCATCACCCCCAGGCTAAACAGCACAACAGTAGAGAGGCTGACTCACCATGCCATTCATCGACCCAGGCAAACGCCTGCTTGTGGCCCAGGAGGAGAATATCACGGATAGACTGAAAAAACAGTGTCAAGAATACCGACATTATTAAAATCAGATGTTAGTTCCTGCTACCATAAAGCAAAGATCAGAGGACATCCCATCCCATGACCATCAGAAGGACCTTTCATCCAACCATTCCAAAGTTTGTTTACTTGATTGGGAAAGTGACACTTGGAATATGTTTTCTAATCAATCCACCTCTAAAACATTTACATTGGTATTCCGAGCAACAACTGCAATCTGTATGACCAATTTCATCATCATCATCATCATCATCATCATCATCATCATCATCATCATCATCATCATCATCTATCCCTCACATCAACGGGATAAACATTTGATGTACCGGTACTTGCAGACAATTTATGGTAAGTTATTAGACATTCCTGAATTTTCTCCAGTTCTCAAATTTTGCATGAACTGTGTCAAAATAGTTTTGAAAGGGCTGTCTGGATTTAACAGAAGTCACAAGTTTGAAACTAGTTCCATAAAACTAGTGAAAGGTGCTTTCTGACTGACTAATGCCGACTTAATGTTGGTCCTTAGCAAAAAGAATGATTAGTTTACCATTGAAATGCAATGGAATCACAGGCAACATTTTATTTAATTGTAGAACATCACGAAACGTGTATACTATACCATTCCATTATTTACTGTAGAAACTTGTACCATACCATTAATACTGTAGAAACTTATATACATCTGAATCAAATATTACAGATGTAATGTTGGTTATTTTTCTTTTCCTGAGGCTTGTGGCAAAATGAACATGAAAATAAATAAATAAATAAATAAATAAATAAATAAATAAATAAATAAATAAATAAATAAATAAATAAATAAATAAATAAATAAATAAATAAATAAATGTGGCAAAATGAACATGAAAATAAATAAATAAATAAATAAATAAATGTGGCAAAATGAACATGAAAATAAATAAATATAAATAAATAAATAAATAAATAAATAAATAAATAAATAAATAAATAAATAAATAAATAAATAAATAAATAAATAAATAAATAAATAAATAAATAAATAAATAAATATGTAAAATAATATGTAAAATATCCTACTTTATGTGCAAATGATTCCACTTTGGTCTGCAGGCCCCAAACTTCAAACTTGACTTTGACAGCTTTATATGAGCACATGATGGGTGAAGTTGAGTCCTGAAATGAAAGGGTCATGATTTCAAGGGTACCATCTGCAGAGTGAGATATACATGGGTTCTTTATTGGGAAACCCAAAGCCTTTAATTGTGCATCTCCCAGCTTCACAAATGGGGTTCCCAAGCTACAAAATGGAGGTCTCAGATAAGCATTCAAACTAGAATACCGGTACTCAAAAAGTGACAAGCTTTGATCCTATTAGTTTGTTTGTTTGTTGTTGAACGCCACGCTCTCAGCAATATTCCAGCCATATGACAGCGGTCTGAAAATAATCAAGTCTGGACTAGACAATCAAGTGATCAACAGCATGAGCATTGATCAGCGCAAGAATAGATAAGATGTTCCCCTACACGTTCTCTGACAAAGCACTTTTGTGCTGATAACAATCTACATTTGTTTCTCTGTTTGTTTATTTTAATCTCTGTCAGCAATATTTTAATTTTAACATGAACTTCAGGTGAGTAAGACAGACTTACCCTCCAGCCTTCCGACATGGGGCCCCGACTGGTCTTCTTGGACTGGAAAGTTTTCAGATCCTGAAGAAAAATTGTTGACAGTAAAGCATATGCTTCAGTCAGCGAAGCCTACTTTCTAAACTACAGGTTTTATTCCATACATGTTTGTTGTCTAATACCCAAGTGTTCCAGCTATATGATGGTAGCATGTAAATATTTGAGTCTGGACCGAACAATCCAGTGATTGATATCATGACCAACAATCCACATCATCAGGAACTGACTGACTGAGTTTGGTTTTACGCCGCTTTTAGCAATATTCCAGCAACATCATGGCGGGGGACACCAGAAATGGGCTTCACACATTGTACCCATGTGGGGATTCGAACCCGGGTCTTTGGCGTGACGAGCCAATGCTTTAACCACTGGGCTACCCCACCGCCCCATTTATCAGGGAAGAATGACAAGCAGTCGGTCAAGTCACAAAATCTTACTACCAAGTATACTACTTTGTATACTAGTAACTATATTTTTTTACTTTGAAAATTTGTAACTCTTTGTTGCCAATATGTAACCAGCCCTAACATGGAGTTGTGTACTCCGTGTCTTTATATACCTATCCGAAATGAAAAAAAAAAAAAAGTATACTACTTTGCCTTTTTACAACAAATACATGTTCCTGGAGAAATGTCTTCTCTGAATGGAAAGTGTTTAGATCTTGAAGAAGAACTGTCCATAGACAGTCAGTACATGCATCATTCTTTGTCACGGACGCTTAAATTCAAAACTGGAAGTTTATTTTCATATTTGTTGGTTTATTGTGGACTGGACAACACGACTGGTTGGTTGGTTGTTTAACGCCACACTCAGCAATATTCCAGCAATATGGTGGTCTGTAAATAATTGATTCATGACCAGACAATCCAGTGATCAACAGCATGAGCATCGATCTACCCAACTGGGATATGATGACACATGTCAACCAAGTCAGCGAGCCTGACCACCCGATCCCATTAGTCGCCTCTAACGACAAGCATGGGTTGCTGAAGACCAATTCCAGCCCAGATCTTCATCGGTCTGGACAACACAGCAATACCCCAGCTAAATGACACTGGCCGATACATATCGAGTCTGGACCAGACAATCCAGTGATTGATACCATCCACACAATCAGGGAATGACGGCATACAATCAACCAGGTCAGAAAGTCAGACCATCGATACATTAGGTTGCCATGTACAACAAATATATCTTGCTGGTGACCAACCTTGACTCGGAATCCAAATGATGTACATATAATAATTAGAAACACAGACAACGTCATATTAACACAGCCTGCAGTTCATCAGTAGATTTGTGTTCTTGTCCTTTTGTCTGACCCAAAATGAAACAACAATGCAAGAAGGCACATTTGCATGACTCACCAAAACTGATTTAAATGATACAATTTTTGTTTGTTTAGTAAATTCCACCCAGTGTTTTCCCACTGAGCAACTGGGTCAAGAAAAGGCTGCCTGATGTACTGTAATCATAGTTATTTTCACCTGGGATTAATTTTCGCACTTTTAGCGAAAAAAGATCGTTCGTCAATAATCATACCAAGCAAAATATTCATGGTCAAGTCATGACGAATACTAAAGTAGGAACAACATGCAATTTGTTTATTCTCTCAGATAACAACATTGCATGTCTGTCAGTTGTGAAAACGCTATGATGGATACCATCATTCAGGTGTTTGAAATGCGAAAAAACAACTGCTAACTAACAGGTCATTTGTGAACTTTCCGCAGAAAATTTCACCCGTGAAAATATATACGATTACAGTATATCATTACTCATCGTACTTCTTCCTCCTTGTAATGCTTCTGAGGTAGTTCATCCAACACAATGTCCACGTAGTCCACCTCTCGCACACTCAGATCCTCCACCGACAGGTTCACGCACTGCAACAGAACAATACATTCAGGAGTCAACTTCTTCCTCACTGCTGATTTATGGAAACAAAATATAGTCCTTTCTTATCAATAAATATGTCAGCAATAACTCAAAAGACTGTTTATTTAACCATTAACACAATAAAACTGTCGATAACACTATAAATTCAGTGACATCGCTCCACACAATTATGCAACATAAACCATACCCATTCTGGTGTGACTGACTGAGTCTAGTTTTACGCCGCTTTTAGCAATATTCCAGCAATATCACGGCGGGGGACACCAGAAATGGGCTTCACACATTGTACCCATGTGGGGATTCGAACCCGGGTCTTCGGCGTGATGAGCCAACGCTTTAACCACTAGACTACCCCACCGCCCCCATTCTGGTATGAAACCCGTTCCTGTTAGTCACCTCATGCGACAACAGGGCTCCAGATAATTTTTCAACATCAGGAGTACTTACGTACTCCTTATTTTTTCAATATAGGAGTACTGGAAAACAAAAAGAGTACATTTAGAGTACTGAATGGAATTTAATGGCGTATCAGTAATCTTGTGGTTCGTTTCATATATGCAACACAACATTGCTACTCTTGTGTAAACATACCAATGAACAGTAAAACAATAATTTTTCAGATAAATATGTCTGTAAATGATTCTAAGACCGTACACCATTGCTATGGTGCGTATTTGCTACTTTTTCTAAATTAATTCCTAACGTATAGTGCATATTTTTTCATCCCTACATACGCCGATAAGGCCCTTATCTGGAGCCCTGCAACAAGCATGGGTGGCTGAAGATAACTTCTAACCAGATCTTCATTGGTCCAGTGTAGAACTATAGTCCGTTTGGCTCAAAAGCGGACCGATGAATTGCAATCTAACTCGAAAACTAATAAACATAAAATACTCAATGAAACACTGATCATAATCAAAACATCAGACCAACTCTGTGAGGTTTTTGCAGAATTTATGTCCTAAAAATAAAAAGTTGTTTAACAAACTATCATTAAAATATTGACAATGTTCACTATTTGTTACGAGAGAGGAGTGCAGAGAAAGGGACAGCCCGGTGTGGGAGAAAGGATGGAGACGGCACAGTACAGGTTAATGAATCAATAACTTTGTCGGCACTTGTGCACGTGCTTCTCTAACACCTGGCTGTCCCTTTCTCTGCACTCCTCCCTCGTAACAAATAGTGAACTGTGTCAAAATTTTAATGATAGTTTGTTAAACAACTTTTTGAATATTAGGAAAAAATTCTGCAAACAAATCACAGAGTTGGTCTGATGTTTTGATTATGATCAGTGTTTCATTGAGTATTTTATGTTTATTAGTTTTCGAGTTAGATTGCAATTCATCGGTCCGCTTTTGAGCCAAACGGACTATACAGAAAGGAGACAGCATTATAAATAATCCATCAGTATTTTAAAATCTGTCCCAACTGCACCCAACAAGACAGATGACTCCACATAAACCTGTTAAATCCCATTACAATAAATCACTACAAGGATACATATCTGAGTGATGGATGGTCAGACCTTTTTCTTACTCTTTCTGGAAGACTAAATCTACCTTGGATTTCTAGAGAAAGCTTGCTCATCCTTCTTACAAGAGATAACAGACAAAATTAGACAAGATTCAAGAGAACCCCGTTGCCTTTCTGTCAGAAACAACAAGAGCCTCTCTGCTGCATATCAGCCTCTTTCTAAGCAGCGCAGATTTGAAGCCAGGAATTTTAAGTTTTGTCAAATTAGATTTCCTGAGTAAGTGAGTCACGATCTAGAGGTTTCATCTCAGGATCAACCCAAGCAACACAAGGACAACGTACTTCAGCTTCATTAGATTTACGTTAACGGCTTATCTGTAAGTGGAGCATAATTATTTTTATAAGTGAAACCTGTGCTCTACCTACTTACAATTTTTGTCTTCATTAGCCTTTTGTGAGTTTCAAGTATTTTTCAAAGCATTCCTTCATTTTGGTAAAGAAAATTAGAGTAGAAACAAGAATTATCACGTCTATTCCAACAAGGAACATCAGTATTTTGCAATGTTAAACAAATGTTTGTTCATGACTAAACAATTAGTTTTTGTTAATACGCTTCCGTAAAACTTGGTAATACATGTATTTCTAAAGTATGGAGCTCCTAACTGCCATGAAGATGGAATTGGTAATAACATATTTGGTTTAGAATTAACTGAGCAGCTGCTTCAGTTTTCAAACAGGAAGAGATAGAGTTTGTTGTTTTTCTTTTCCAATGAACTGACATCTTGATACATAGGAGGTTCATGTATGTGTGAGCGCTACAAAGTTAAGCTGATGGGGTCATTGGTCAGCAGAAACAGAATTAAAAAAGAACACTAAATCATTTTAATGTCTGTTTTCACAAGTCAATCTATTAAAATTTACAAGTTCTGTGATCAACAGCATGAGCATTGATCTACACAACTGGGATATAATGACATGTGTCAACCAAGTCAGTGAGAGTGACCGTCTGATCCCATTAATCGTGTCTTCCGACAAGCATGAGTTTCTGAGGATCTGACAGGTTCTTGACTAATGAGACCCGTGAAGATCCGGGGTAGAATAGGCCTTCAGCAACCCATGCTAGCCGCAAAAGGCGACTATGCTTGTCGTAAGAGGACTAACGGGATCGGGTGGTCAGGCTTGCTGACTTGGTTGACACATGTCATCGGTTCCCAATTGCGCAGATTGATGCTCATGCTGTTGATCACTGGATTGTCTGGTCCACACTCGATTATTTACAGACCGCCGCCATATAGCTGGAATATTGCTGAGTGCAGCGTAAAACTAAACTCACTCACTCACTCTTGACTAATGACCAGCACATAAAGGACAAGGTATGATAAAGGCCCTTATTGGCCCACAAAATTTCATGATATTCAAAGTTCTACAACATGATAATTTTAGCATAAAAAATGCTAAATAAATTGTTGAAATTACCTCCATATGTTTTTTTTATATGTTTTAGTGCTGTTTTTTCCTCTTTGAAGACCTCAAAGTTAACCTATTTTACAATATCTTCGAAAAACCTGCATTTTCATATTTTCAGAGTGATAAAAAAGTGTGAGCAAAAGCTTGACCCATCCCAATTTTTTCACCACACATGAAGAGAGTAAATTAGAATGCACTCCTAAAAAATTGTGGTGGGTCACGCTTTTGCTCATATCAAAATGTTTATAAAAGTACATTTTTTCTGTTGTATGAAATTGCCCCATACAACATCTCAAAAATAAACATTGGCGTAAAGTAATATCTCTGAAAACTATCCGTCACATTTACACAACTATACCATGATTCATTACTATTTTGAATGTTTTAGAGCACTAAAATGAACTTATCAAACATGTTTATTAAAAAATTTCAATATCGTAAGGGACTCTCAAGGCTGATTACTTTGAGGTAAACAAGGGTAGTTTTTTGGAGACCCTGTTGATCACTGCTGGAAAAATAAGAAGACATCAGAAGATTTTTCAAAATATGATCAGGCAGCATTCTAAAGGTGAGAATCTTTGTAATTATGCTAGAATTTTATCATATTTGTTCTATCATCTGTTTAGCAAACCCCTCTGTGTCACCTGTCACTGTCAAATAACACTGGCATTCCACTGGATGTAACTGTGTATAAACATACACATTTTAACAAAAATAATGTACCTTGATGTTTTCTAGGATATATCAGGCTACATTTAATATTGTTAGAATAAGAACATTGTATCAAGGTCTAGCAGATTATGAAAAGCAAGCAGACGTCAAGTGACACATTGTTGCAAAGTGTAATATATAAGCTTAAAGTGACAAATAGTAACAGTAGAATCTGTAGCCTAGTGGTTACAGTGATGGCCTTTTACTTTTTTCTGTTATCAGACATTCAGGTTCAAATCCTAATGTTTTTTTTCTTTTCTTCTTTTTTTTCTTCAAAAGTTAAGTTAAACATTGTAAATTGGCTGACAAAACTTGTGCACATGAAATACAAATTTTGTAAAAAATATTTCTTAAGTTTGGTAATGTAAGTTACACTGTTCAAACAAACTTGAATTAACATCATGTAAATCTTGTTTAAGCCTGAAGACACTGACTTTTCCACTTTGTTCCCACACAATAAAGAACCTGTAGAAGGTAAGCATTGTTTCAAAATGTTAGTATGGTAATTTCTGTAAGTAAATATTTACAAACTGTCCAGAGCTGTTAATTAGTGGTGCACTGATCAAACAAATAATTAGTTTATGGATATTTTGTGGGCTGCCAGTCAATTACCGATAACCAAATCACATAATCAATTAAAGCGTTCACTATTTCTTCTTAAAAATATGTTTACAGAATCAATGACTATTGGTTTCAATTGTCATATTAAAACTGAGGACTGATTACCTTTGTTTTCAAGTGCTCTAACAGTTGTTTTTATCTTATATCTATAATTGATCAAAAAGTGGCCTCAACAATTGATTATGCTTTTGGAGGTCAATTCCCTTCCCTATATAACTATCCTATTGACATGTTTAGCATTAGAAAAATTACAAAGCACCAATTTCTTGAACATAATGATAATTCTTTTATGATTTCAAATATTTGTTTTCAGATAAGAGAAATTTGCTTGGACTGATTTCAGGAGTGTCATTTCATGAAGATGACAACTTAAAACTTGAGGTGGAAGGTAAATAATAATGTGAGTGCTAAAAATAACCAATATTTTTTTCTTCAATTTTCTTATTTAATGTGACAGAATTTCAGAAATACTGATGTCTCAGTGGTGATTAAATCTGCATAAGCCTTCAAGGCCAGACTACTGACATTTGAAAATAAATAAGTAATGTTACCCTTGTATAGATTTATAATATCAAAGTTTTAAAACAGGATTTTCTTTTGATATAAAGTCATCTGTTTTTCAGTTGAGAGAAGATCTGGGTATGGCAGACACCAAGACAATATGCCTGTTTCCAGCAACTCTAGTGATACACGGTTGAATGCTGCAGTTCTTGACAGTGATTCAGAAACTGATTCAGAGATTGATGACCATGTGGATGAAGAGTGAAAGTGGATGTTTTATATATATTTGCAGTGAATGAGTTGTGAATAATTACTTTTTTGAAGATTTTTGAATACTGACTTTTAACACTTACTTGGTGTCAAAATCAAGCTGTGCCAAGAATGTAATTTCACCTGAAATAGGCCCCTTTGAGGTCAAGACCTGTGATTTTTAGTGCAACATGATTGGTTATTGTAATAACATGTTGTGAATGAGATGTTTACTGTATATTTGCTAAAACCGGTTGTGAATACTGACTTTTAACACTTACTTGTTAAAATCAAGCTGTGCCCAAAATGTAATTAGACCTAAAATGGGCCCCCCTGTGATTTTTCGTGGGACATGATTGGTTATCATAAGTACATGTTGTAAAATTGACCTATAGTTTATGTTTGCAAAGAAAGTTGTCAATAATGTGCTTTTTGTAATCAATTGGCAAGTAATTAAATTACTGTCCACAATGTATTGCAACCCTAATTGGGCCCCTTGAAGTTAAAACCTTGTGATTGATGTTGACATGTTTCTTCTTCATGAATACCTGTTGCAAAACTGATACTGTTTGTATGTAAATAAACTGATAGTTGTATATAAGTCATTATGGCACACTGATATTTCAGATTTCTTGTTATTTTTTCATGGGAACTGATAAAACCCATTTTGGCCCCTCTGCATTGAAATTATGGCCTCAGATCATTTTTAAAAATAGCTTTTTATGCAAAGCCATCTTGTCTCTAAACAAATAACATGTGTTCAGCCAATTCTGTTTGTGGGCCAAAACCACCCTTATCATACCTTGTCCTGGTCTACCTTGACCTAAATATGGGGGACTTTGATCTGAATACGAGGAAGCATAACACATTTGAAAGGGTTAACGGAGGCTGGTGAGACAAATCTTAAATGCTAATTTCCTGTTCTTCTTCACATATTGTAACTCTCTCTAACACGCAGGACACCAGTATAAGCTACAGTCCTGCTCAGGAAAGATTAGGATTCAAGGACTATGTAGGCAATGAATACATGAGGCAGACGATGAATACACAATGTTATTTAGAGTCATATTTGGGACTACAGTTTCTCAGTAAAGTACAGATTCTAGTTGTTGGGATTCGAACCCACACTTGTCAGAGTGTGGCACCTAACCGCCAGCACACAAATTCAGTCATCTAACCCACTTAGCCACTTCACTCTCCAAAAGAATGAAGTTCTGGCACATTTAGTAAAAATGCTGGATGGGAATCAACCCCTAAAAGTATTAGACTGACTGACTGAGCATAGTTTTACGCCGCTTTTAGCAATATTCCAGCAATATCACGGCGGGGGACACCAGAAATGGGCTAAACACATTGCACCCATGTAGGGATTCGAACCCGGGCCTTTGGCGTGACAAGCAAAAGTATTAGAATCTTCTACTGAGAAAGTGTAATCCCAAATTATATAAGACGCAGTGGATGCCCAAAACATTCACAGTCGCTGCACATCACAATAATCAGAACTTGTTTGTTTGCTTGTTTGTTTAACACTGCATTCAGCAATATTCCAGCTATATGGCGGTGGACTGTAAATAATCGAGTCAGGACCAGACAATCCTGTGATAAACAGCATGGACATCGATCTACGCAACTGGATACAATGACATTTGCAGGGATGGCAACAGGAAAATCTATTTTCAGCTGAAAACTTAATGTTGTGTCATCAAATGGGGGGTTCAGACTATTCAATGAATTGATGAATTTGAAATAAAATCTGCAAAAATCCGCAGATCAGTGGAAAATTGCCATAACTGCATGTGTCAACAATATTCCTGTTATTGTCATATTACCAGTAAACATTCAAGTCTGGACCAAGCAGACCAGTGATTGACAGTAGTCTGGATTTCTTTCACTTATGCAGCAACGTGTGAGCATACGTCCGTGCGCACATATTTGTGCATGTGTGTATGCAAGCATTAGTCAAGCTCTGTAGTTTAATAACATGGATAGCATACAGATGCAGTATACTGACTCTTTGTTTGAACCCTTTAAAGCCAAACAGGAAGGGAAAAAACAAGCAGCATTTTTTCAACATCTTTTGCTTATCTCAATCAAACCACTTTGCTCTTTCTTTCTTATAAAGACTATACAGTTAGAATATGAAGGACTCTAGATTCAAATACCTAAGGAGCAAACCGAAACGACCCCAGGACAATTGTTTCATTTCAAATTCTGCACAGACAGCGTCCCTAAACACAGTTAATTTTAGTTGACTTCTTGGACAAGTAAGTAACTCGAGAACTTCAGATAACTACAAAGCATACTCACTGTGTATTCTGTTTGAAGCCAAGCGGACCATGAAAATAAAGAACACATAAAGAATTATTTTATTGTAGCAAAATTTTCTTTTCCAGGATTAAGTCATATTATCTACATTTACATTAAAGACTTATCCAGCCACATAATGTTGGTTTGTTGTTTCAATACCACATTCAGCAATATTCCAGCTATATGATGGTGACCCTTAAATAATGGAATCTGGGTCCAACAATCCACTGATTGACATGTTGAATATTGATCAACTGATGACATGTGTCATCCAAGTCAGAGAGCTTGACAAATGATCCCGCTAGTGTCGAACCTCAGCTAACCAGTATTTAAATAGTGCAGGGGTAAGGCGTCTGCCTATCACACTGAAGGCCCGGGTTCTATCCCCGGTGGAGGCACCTAAGTTCGGGTCCCGAGGTGGGCACATTTGCCTGGTATCCTTGGACAAGATACTTAGATCCACATTGTCTCAGTTCATCCAGCTGTAAAATGGGTACCCGTGAGGATGTGCTGGCAATGTGAGCGTTTAGTTCATTGCGCCTAACAGGCAGCATTGCTGTATCCTCCCCAGGGAGTTGAAAAAGTATCAGAAAGCACGATAGTTTCCTATGACCGGAATAGTAATGTACGTAGCGCCGTGAACAGGCAATCTGCCTGGATATGAGCGCCATATAAGCGGACTATTACTATTACTATTACTAAATAGGTCCCTTCAACTTGCACACAACAGAGTTGGTAATACTACCACTATCAATTCCCAGCAGGTCAAAGAAACTTCTGGCAGAATGAGTGTGTAATGTACAACTTTACAATGCATTTAGACCAGAATGTTTTTAGTGGTTGGTTAACATGGTAAATGGAGTTATGTGCCTTGCCGGATACAGCATTTTCATGCTATTTTGGAGACTTGGAGACTTTCCAAAGAGTAAGTTACTAGGAAATTCAGTTAAAAGGTATTAAAATACTGACATCAGATGGTGTTTTATGTTGTAAAGTCTTTTACAAGCCAGTTTTGGTTTGAGTCGATGAAGATGATGAATGTAGCTCCACGCCATGTTGCGCTCGGATGTTTTTGATGAAGAGCTGACTCCAAACGCCGAATCGGGTTAACTTTATTTACAATAAAAGAGTGAGTATAATTTTATGCCACTTTTGCAATATTCCAATATGGGCGTCAGATATTGTACCAATGTGAGGAACTAAACCCATTTCATTGGTCTGGAGAGCTTTAAGCACAAGCTACCCTACCGCACCTTCCTCTGGTAGTCAAGGTTTCTAGACAAACAACGTCGCCTGACATCTCATGGTTAAGAAAAGGTCACTGAATGGCTTAGGTTGGTATATAACTTTCAGGAATGACATCCATTGATCATGGGCAGATACAATCTGACTTGGATATCAAGAACTCATTCATCACGTCTCCGTTAGAAGAGTACCGACAGTTAATCTATTTCTGCTGATGGATGTCATATAAATAGGTGCATCAGCTATCACAAGTTCATCATCAAAGAATGTTGATTAAATCCCAGGTATAAACGTGCATGCATTGGTATGCTACCTTATATAAGGTCCATTTCATCAGCTTGGTTAATCAATACAACATATCACAGAAGTATTTTCCACAAAACACAAGTTGTTTAATAAAATATATCAAGAAAAAGTTCTTCAATTTCAGACTGAAGTGATTATGATAAATATACAATTATTAAAAAAATGTTGAAAATATTTGACTCTTTTAAATTTATCTGACCAGCTTGCTATCAAAAGGAGAAATACTTATCTGTTCATCTGACTAAAATGATTTATCCTTGGATCCAAACACAGGAATTTGACATAATATACAGATTTCTTCCAGATAAAACAATCTTGTAACTGGTAACTAACAAAATATTTTCATTTTGTACTTCCTTCAAAAGCAATCAAGGGAGTCATATTTAAATACTGAATGAATATATGGTCCAGGCCCATTTGCAACCATTATCTGCTTGTGATCCATATTCCAACCTTGGCTGCTAATTTCCATCCTATCTGATTTCAGTGTTAATCAAGATTTACCTTTAATATCAGAGATATAATCAGAGATGACAACACCAGGGATAATCAAGAATGGGACTCAATACAAATCTAATACATAATTACATACCTGTGATGGTAAATGGATAAAAGTTCCATGCTTTTTCTGTTATATAAAAGATTCTTGGAATAATGGATTGCACCCAGCCTGGAAGTCGGCAGTAAAAAAGAGAAAACCAACAATTACAGAGAAGAAAAAGATACAAAGAAAGGTTGTCAATAAGAGAGTTGGCACTGACATTAGCTAATGTTCCAAAGTTTTCACAAAGAGTGAATGAGTGAGTTTAGTTTTACGCTGCTTTGAGCAACATTCCAGCAATATTATGGCGAAGGACACCAGAATGGGCTTCACACATTGTGTCCATGTGGGGAACTGGACCCCAGGGCCTAGATTTTCGAAGCTCTCTTATCGCTAAGACAGTTGTAAGTTAATGTTAATGTATGGCACTTACGACTATCTTAGGCTAAGAGAGCTTCAAAATCAAGGCCCTGGTGTTCAGCATCAAAGAGTGGGTGAGTTTGGTTCAGCGCTTTGTACAGATTATACCATGGCAGGTCAGAGTGAGTGAGTGAGTGAGTGAGTGAGTGAGTGAGTGAGTGAGTGAGTGAGTGAGTGAGTGAGTGAGTGAGTGAGTGAGTGAGTGAGTGAGTGAGTGAGTGAGTGAGTGAGTGAGTGAGTGAGTGAGTGAGTGAGTGAGTGAGTGAGTGAGTGCACCACTTTTATAAATATTCCAGCAATATCACGGCAGGGGACACCAACACACAATGCCATCAAGGCTGAAATGATATACAATTACCATACAAAATTTACTAGTCTGAGAGGGGCGGTGGGGTAGCCTAGTGGTCAACGCGTTGGCTCGTCACGCCGAAGACCCGAGTTCGAATCCCCACATGGGTACAATGTGTGAAGCCCATTTCTGGTGTCCCCCGCCGTGATGTTGCTGGAATATTGCTAAAAGCGGCGTAAAACTACACTCAGTCAGTACTAGTCTGAGAGCCTGAGACTACAAATGTCTCCTGAGGGCAAGTTCAAATCCAATCAGTAGCAAGCTAGCTAACTACAACAAGGCATGTCTAACTGACACATCTTTGTGACACATGCTCCGATGTCACTAAGACTGACTGACTGAGTTTGGTTTTACGCCGCTTTCAGCAATATTCCAGCAACATCACGGCGGGGGACACCAGAAATGGGCTTCACACATTGTACCCATGTGGGGATTCGAACCCAGGTCTTCGGCATGACGAGCCAACGCTTTAACCATTAGGCAACCCCACCGCCCCCAATGTCACTTATAAAGAGAAAGGCGTAAAATTAAACTCAGTCAATCGGTATTACAGAGAAAGTGTCTTTGTTTGTTAACATGCCTAATGTTTGACATCACGCTTAACAGACAAACATATTTTCAATGTACTGTGCCACATCCTACATAGGTATTTATCATTCATTTTTATTGCAGTCGTTGTGACTTATTACCTTTGCAGGTGTTTCTACCAATCAACAATTACTCAGAACATATACCCTATATTTAGCCATGTATGTATATTGATTTCTCTAACAATTGTATGACATGTAACAAGTCAGATACCGTTATTGATTCTCTCAGTACAATTTGACACTTTACCTGGATAGACACAGTTCACACTATAAACATTTTAACTTGATGTGTACTTAATACTCACTGCGTACTTGTGTAGGTGTACTCAAGTTTTACCTCTTATTTGGAATGGTGTACTTGAATCTCACTTCTTACCTGTACAAGTGTATTCATTTTTCACTTCTTCTATGGTGAACTTAAATCTCCTAGCTTACATGTACAGGTGTACTAATTACCACTTCTTACCTGTACAGGTGTATTCATTTTTCACTTCTTCTATGGTGAATTTAAATCTCCTAGCTTACATGTACAGGTGTACTAATTACCACTTCTTACCTGTACAGGTGTATTCATTTTTCACTTCTTCTATGGTGAACTTAAATCTCTAGCTTACATGTACAGGTAATTACCATTACCTGTACATTTTCATTTTTCACTTCTTCTATGGTGAACTTAAATCTCCTAGCTTACATGTACAGGTGTACTAATTACCACTTCTTACCTGTACAGGTGTATTCATTTTCACTTCTTCTATGGTGAACTTAAATCTCCTAGCTTACATGTACAGGTGTACTAATTACCACTTCTTACCTGTACAGGTGTATTCATTTTTCACTTCTTCTATGGTGAACTTAAATCTCCTAGCTTACATGTACAGGTGTACTAATTACCACTTCTTACCTGTACAGGTGTATTCATTTTTCACTTCTTCTATGGTGAACTTAAATCTCCTAGCTTACATGTACAGGTGTACTAATTACCACTTCTTACCTGTACAGGTGTATTCATTTTTCACTTCTTCTATGGTGAACTTAAATCTCCTAGCTTACGTGTACAGGTGTACTAATTACCACTGCTTACCTTTACAGGTGTACTCAATTTTTCCTGCTTCTCCGGAAAGGTGTATTTAATTCTCACTTCTTACCTCTGACAATTTAATTGGACACGTATATTTAATTCTTACCGAGCAATGCAACACTTTCTGTGAGACTGATATTCTTTAATTCAAACGTGACAATTCACTTGGACAAGTGTTCATAATTCTCACTGAAATTGGACATTTTACCTGGACAGGTGCACTTAATTCTCACTGAACAATATAAAATATTACATGGATAGGTGTACTAAATTCTCAGTACACAATGTGATATATTTCCTGCACAGGTCATGCATTATTTAACATCCTGATTTCTACACACAAAAAATCTGGTTTACCTGCAGGCACACATATTTTCTTTGTTATGTTTTTTTAATTCCACTTTTTGGTTACATTTCCATCCATTTTATAACAACAATACATACACGTACATATATATGTGCATATAGATGTACACTGGATTTTGGCTCGTTTAAATGTCATATCTAAGACATTACACTGGCTTGTTGAAAATTATATGTAGAATAGACCAAAGGTTTCATCGATGTACGCAGGATTGTGGTTCATTTAAATGTCATATCTAAGACATTACACAGGATTGCTGAAAAGTATATATAGAGATGCAGGCACACATAATAACGATTCTTTTCTTACCTGGACAGGTGTATTCGTTTCTCAGTGTACTGGCCATGTCCATGTTCCGGGTGCTCGCACACTTCGTTCTTGACGACCTCGACCCCCTCCCCTTTCTCACTCTGCTCATGGCAGTGCTTGGTGATCATGTATAGTTGACCAATACGATACTGAAACACACCAACAGGCACTGGATAATACCTGGCTGATTGGTTTGAAAAGAGACTGATCAGATATTAACAGATTTAGATAAGGCCAGACCAATTTTATTTCTTGTTTTACGGATCCGCCGGTCCTATTTTTTCAAGAATAAGGAAAAAAAAAAAAAATCCCACTCAAAAAATAAAATCCTAATGTTTTTATTGACCAAAAATGTAAACTTACTAGAAAACTTCTTTTAGATTGTTTTTTGCCCCATATACACTTCATAAATTCCCAAAAGTAAAATACTTTTAGTATTTAGAAGGAATGTTACTTTGACAGGTCATTTTATTCTTATTTTTTTCTCCTCCTGCCTTTAGGTTTTCTGAGGACAAAAATCCGTAAAACAAGAATTAAAATTGGTCTGGCCTAAGAAATAATATGATGATGAAAGTGATGGTGGTGGTGATGCTGCTGCTGCTGCTGCTGCTGCTGCTGATGATGATGATCATCATCATCATCATGGTGATAGTGGCAGTGGTGTCGGTGGTGATGATGGTCGTGGTGATGATGGTCGTGGTGATGACGGTCGGGGTGATGATGATAAAGGTTTTGAGTGATTTCAGCACAGCTTGGAAATTTTATAGAAAATACTATTGACTTTTTGATTAAGTGATTGAATGAATGACGTGACTGACCAAATATTGTTACAACGCTGCAGTTAACAATATACCAGTTTTACCAAGGAGGCCTATGAAGAATGTAGTCTACACCATGTAAACTAGTGATTGATAGCATGAGCAATGTCACGGGGTCACAATGACATGCAAACAGCCAGGTCACAAAGCCTGACAACTCAATCCATTTCACTTGATTCTAACAACAAACTATTTTAACAGTCGGCCTATTCTACGCCATAATTTAATTTTAACATCAAAGTCGCATAATGATATTTACTGTAGAATATATAAGTATAAATTGTCTATGAAATGTTTGTTTTTGTTTGTTTGTTAATTAACGCTGCACTCAGAAATATTCCATCTAAATGGCCTGAAAATAATTCTTACAGAGATAACAAAGTTCACTAAGGATGTGTATTGACGAATAGCTTGTCAGAGACACATCAATCATATCACTAGATAACAGTGAGTAAAGGATCACTTTGATTACTTTATCTCAACCATGTGAGATAACCCTGGTGTCGACCTGCGGCCATCTTGACTTTTCAGTGACCTAACAATACATAGCTATGCTACATCAATTATCCGCTCTTTTGCTGAATCTGACATGAATGTTGGAAAGGTGAAGAATGTGACTCTAACTCACGGTCAAAATATGTTCATCTCAAGACAAGATACTACTTTCCTTTTACCTTCTATCAGGTAAGAATTTCATTTTGGGGTATCAAATCCTTACCAACAATGATGTTTGTGTTGTCTGTTTTTTAATGCCACACTTGGCATTATTCCAGCTATATGGTGGCGGTCTGTAAATAACCGAATATGGACCGGACAATCCAGTGATCAACAACATGAGCATCAATCGACTCAATTTTGATAAGAAGGCAAGTGTCAACCAAGTCAGCGAGCCTGACCACCCAATCCCGTTAGTCACCTCTAACGACAAGCATGGGTTACTGAAGATCAATTCTAACCCGGATCTTCACGGGTGAAGTGATACACATAAAAGGTGAAAATTTATTTTTGTCAAATTCTTTAATATGAGGAACACAATGTTTCAGAGTATATCAATAAACGTCCAAGGCATATTTGTGGGCTGAGCATTGTAGTTGAGAGAGCATGCTGAAGTGAATGGCCTTGATTTTTTCATTAACCTCAGGTGACAACTGGTCTTGGCTAAGGACTAGGGCTTGTGGTATAGGTCAGGTTTGAGGACATTTTAAGCTGTGATCTTGTATGCTCTGTGTGCTCATGAATGAAGGGGTAAGAATATACACAAAATATTGTGTTCCTCATAATAAAGAATTTGACAAAAATAAATGTTCACTTTTTCACACAATATTTTTATTAACCACTTGAATTTTGATTCTCATAAAGTACAATTCATACTTGCACGCTGAGGTATAACCTATTTCATTTCTTATTTATCATGATTACCATGTTTAGTATTGACTGTAACACCGACTAAGGCCCTATGCCAAGCCTGTAAATACTATCTATTTATGTATGCCTTGTATATGTGAATATCTATTCATAATTATCATGTCATGTAAACATGTACTGGGAAATAAAAACATTCAAAAAAAAAAAATGTTTAGTATTGACAAATTTGAGGTGGTTATTGTCAGTCTTGGAAGAAAGTCCACTAAGAAGATGGTGAAGTAACAATACAGTGAATAAAGTCAGACATCTGCTTACCTCATTTTCAGACTTTCAGATACAAATTTTGTTTGTTATTTTGGGTGTTTAGTATAACATAAAAAAATTAAAAATTATTACATGATTTTTCAAAAGTCATCAATCACAATAACTGCCAACTGATCAAAACGATGCTAAAAATACACAAATTACATCAAATAACATCAATCATCCTTCTAAAGTATCACAGTCACGTACTGGGTCGTGACATGGGTGTTAAGTCTCCCACACCTTCAACAAATCAATCATCTTATGTTTATGTTCAAAGGGATACTCAGACACAGTGACAGCCATCACTGGCATTTCATCTCAATCTGGGACGGTGGAGTAGCCCAATGGTTAAAGCGGTCACTCGTCACGCCGAAGACATGGTTCGATTCCCCACATGGGTACAGTTGTGAAGCCCATTTCATGGGTGATAGCTGTATTGCTAAAAGTGTCTTAAAACTAAACTCACTTACTCACCCCATCATCTCCATCTGATTTTCAAGGGTATGTTTTCTAAACAATGTCTAGTCTGGTGTCAATGCTTTCTAGTAGGCCATTAAATTTTACAGCAAATCTTCCCTTGTAACATATGTTAAAAGTAACAAAGTGACTAGCATTATGATAGAACTGCATTTCACATTAACATCAATGATGACCTTGACCTTTCACACACATGCCACTGCATTTCATTGGGCAGCACATGTTAAGAAATATGCAAACACAAAGTTTAATGCTCATAAAAATAACTGATTCCCAGCCCTCAAAAACCTGAATACTGACCTTGACCTTTGAATTATTTTGACGAAACTTTTTCAAAGTTGAGCCCCCATTCTAAATTACTGTTTGTATAAGCTAAATAATATAAGCTTTCTTAATGAGAGTGTGTGTCCACAAACTTTATCATGAGCTTTTCCAATCCTGTGACCTTGACCTTGACATTTTCATTTTAGGTGCCAAACATTATTAACTACAGAGAGAAACAGCTATACAACTTTCATTATAATCCTTTGTGGGGTTCTATTCTGTAAAAACTGTAAAACCTGATGCACAGATGACATCTCCAGATTGAACAGAAGATCAAGTGTCACCTGCAAACAGACTACAGCCTACATCAGACAGCAGACAGATAACAAGACAGCAGACGTCTCCTGAGACAAGGACATAAGTCATGCTTCAGGAGCGATGTTCAAAGATACACCTGCAGCAGTTTGTAAACAACAGCTATCCCGCTGTTCCATGAGTGTAAATAAATATCTAATGACCGACGTGCTGAAAACATCTGTTTCAACATTGCAGAAAGAACGCATCATGCGAACATGCAGCTTAACACCTCGTATCTGAAATGAACATATTTTGCGCAATATACATTTGTTAAATCATTATCGTATGTAATATAATTAAAACAAGCCCAGAGACTTTCTTCATTTTGAAAGTGAACCCTCAGTAATCTAGGCATGCATGGGCTGTATTGGATATGTTTGTTTTGGGGTCTGTTTGACAGATTTACAGGGATGCACACTATCTACAAACATCTGCAGGGGATGCACTGGGAAGAAACAATATATATAATATAATTGTGTGCATTCCACAAGCAAACTCTAGATTGTACTTAAGTGGTTTTGTGAGAGAGCATCATTCACCAGTTCTGTCACACAGAAGACAGCTGTGTGACATACAAGTCAATTCTGTCACATACAAGGCAGTTTTGCCACATGCGATGCCATTTTGTCTTCAATAAGATATGTATTAAACATGCTGCTGTTTAGGGCCCAGATTTTCGAAGCTCTCTTAGCGCTAAGATAGTCATAAGTGCCATACATTAACATTAACTTACGACTATCTTAGTGCTAAGAGAGCTTCGAAAATCTAAGCCCATGTGAAGTAACGAAAACACAAAAACAAATAATCAACATGTCAATATGTCAAGACCTTGATCACAGAACCCTACAAACACTTGCAATGATAATAATTTCAGATTACCCCCATTACCCGGCCACTATCTGCACATCGATAACCTGTCAATTGCCTGCTTACACAAATTGATTGATGGACGTTGTCACAAAGGCCCCTTTATTCATTGATCTATTCTGTCAGTCCCCCGAGATTAACTCTGTCCCAGTGATGACAACCAATAAATCAATCATCCCACCTCTCTCACCAGCACACAAAATGTCATCATCAGCAAGCTCTGCAACACCTTCAACCAAAACGATGAGGCTTGGATTCATGGTCACAAATCTACGTATAATTACTTGATCGATATACCTATTTATTTAGGCACGCTTAGTATTAGTAGTAATATCTGAATGAGCAAAACAATTTTGTTTTCAATAACACACTATTTGATTGTGATTGGTGGTGGTGATGATGATGATAATGTTGATGAGTGAGTGAGTGAGTGAGTGAGTGAGTGTAGTTTTACATGACTTTTAGCAATATTGTACACATTGTACCCAAGTGAAGAATCGAACACTGGTCTTCGGTGTGAAGAGCAAACACTTAACCCACTAGGCTACCCCACCACCCGATGATAATGATGATGATGATGATGAGGCTGGGTGCGTGACTATGCAGGCTTGTGTTATTTCCTCAAAAAACAAAAACACATTTACCCAAGAATCATAATCAGAGCAATTAAAGGGATTCAAACCAATGATAATAAC